CAAAACTCCACAGAGCAAACTATAAAACACCTTCATAAGTTCTGAACAAACCATTGCAGACTTTTTCTCCAAATGATTAAACACTTTGATAAAACACATACGATAAAAAAAAACCACTACACACTTCCCTGGAGATAGTGGATGCCCAGTTTACCCGCTTTTCTCTACCCTCTGAACCGACTTATTTTTCTCTGTGAGGTCTTGTTAATGCCCACTAAACTCTCATGAGCTCTGGAGGTTCTGAGCTTAGCCTGTCACCCTCTGAGGCTGCTGTCCACAGGCAGTGATAACGGGGCTACAGCTCACCCCATGGAGCCAGGTCAGAGCGAGAGTGTGGTCTTCACTAAAACCCAAAGGATTGAGAGAGCCGTCCTGGCCCAGGCACTGGGGTACACTGCTGTACTTTAGGTACAGTTTGTCCCCCAGAGTTCATGAGCTGGCAGCTTGGTACCCAGTGAGGTGGTGGTGTGGTGGGATCTTTAAGAGATGGGGCCTGCTAGAAAGGTAATTATGTCATGGAGGCCCTTCCGTCATGAGTGAATTTGTACTGTCTCATGAGAGAGGGCAGGTTTGTCGGGTGTACCTTAGCTCCCTTGAGAGTCTTTTTTAAAGAGGAGTTTGACGTTTCCCTGGTCTCATGCTTTCTGTCCTGTGTAATGTCTTCCTCCCTCACACACTTCCACTGTGGTGTCATCTGCCACGTTTTGATATAGGCAGCAGTAATCTAATCTCTTTTCTTCAGTGACATCAGAAATGTTTGCATCATGCACAGACAGATATTTTGTCACAGAAGTCCAAAATGGAGTATGACATGTACCAAGAAAGCTGCATGCCTTGGCCACCCCATGGGGAGGACCAACTTGTTTGTACATCCCCTTGTTTCCAGAGACACTTGTTTGTTGAGACAGGGTTTCTCTGCGAAGCAGTCCTGGCTGTCCTGGAACTCACTCTGTAGACCAGGCTGGCCTCCAACTCACAGAGATCCTTCTGTCTCTGCCTCCTGAGTGCTGGGATTAAAGGCATGCGCCACCACGCCTGGCCAAAACTTTTTTTTTTTTAAGGCAGTTCATAACACACACTATTCTGGACTCAAGACAAGGGTTTGAGGCTGCATTCACGCATGCTGCATGGCAGAGTGGCACGTGTACTGTCAAGTGCATGTGTTATGTGGTCAGGAACCAAAGCTGCAGTGAAGTTTAGAAATGCCACCCAGGCACGTGCTTCCAGAAGCACCTCAGATACCTTCTGCTTTCGATCTCGATTGAATTTTTGGATACTACAGTTTCAGAAATCTTTCCCTACTGCCAGTTTACTCCTCATTTAGCTACATGACCCCATATGGGGGTGTAGCCCATGATTTAAGATGCAGTGGTATAGCTATAATGTAGTTATGACATTACCATGTAATGTGCATCCTGAGGGCTTGTTAGTCCTCACCCCGACCATTGATCCTGAATCTACATTTTAACCCGAATCCGGCTACAGGGTGAGAAGCCCTTTCTTCACAGCCTCATCTGGGACTGGCTCCTTTCTTTCCAGGCTTGTTCTGCTATTCTCCTCTCACTGTGCTCCTGTTTCTACGGCCATCATTCAGTCCCCCTGATACATCAGTCTCCTCATCACCACAAATCCTGGTACTGGCCGTTCTCCCAACCCACAATGCCCTTCCTACCATCTCCTTGAATGTTCCTGGTTAATTTTTTTCAGACTTGATCTCAGAAAGGCCTTCTTGACTTCTGAGCCCGCAACATCTCCTGCTTTATCATCCGCCTGTGGAATACCATGGGCACGTCCTTCACAGCATCTAATGGTGTACGTGTTCAGTGAACGCACAGCTTTCTCACCGGACTGGAACTCCACGAAGATAGAGAATCTAGACCGATGTGGTTTTGCTCACTTTTGTGTTCTTCATAACTTAACACAGGGCCTGGAATATCACAAGTATCCAGTAAAACTCATCCTTTGCCATCTTTGTCTATCATTCAATAAACATTTATGGTGTATCTGCTATGTGCCAGGCCCCGTGATCCATGCTGGGCATACACTAAGATGAAAACCAGGGATTCTGCTCTCCTGTTACCTACAGTGTAACAGAGGAAGTGATCAATCACATTGCCACAGAAAACAAAATGTAACTACTAAGGCAAATGAGTGAATACAGTACACACTGCCATGAGCATTTAAGAGGGCTGATCAGGGAGTTCCTATCTTCTTCTACTTGATATAGAATATAAAAAATGTAAGCTTTCTTTACAATGTTGTTGTGTGTGTGTGTGTGTGTGTGTGTGTGTGTGTGTGTGTGTGTGTGTGTGTAATGTATGCATGTGTGCCTGTGGCTGCATGTGCAAATATATACATGTGTGCGTTGAAACCAGAGACGGACATCAAGTATCTTTCTTGGCTGCTTTCCACCTTATCTTTTTTGTTTGATTTTGTTTTTCAGGACAGAGTTTCTCTGTGAAGCAGTCTTGGCTGTCCTGGAACTCACTCTGTGGACCAGGCTGGCCTCAAACTCACAGAGATCCTCCGGCTTCTGCCTCCCAAGTGCTGGGATTAAAAGCATGCACCACCACCGCCTGACTCCACCTTATCTTTTGAGACAGTCTTTCACTGAATCTGGAGCTCACTGATTCGGCTAGGCTGGCCAGTCAATGAGCTGCAGGGAATGTGCCTCATGCCCCTGGAGCTTGGGTTATAGATGAGCACCACCCTGCCCAGCTTTTCCATGCTTGCTAGGGATCCAAATCCAGGCACTCCTGCTTGTGTGGCAGGTACTTTACTATTAAGACGTCTCTCCAGCCCCTAAAAATTGAGATGGAATTCATAGAACACGCAACTTATCCATTTAAATGATACATGTTCATGGCTTTTAGTACAGTCAGAGATGATGTCATTACACTTTCCAAAACACTTTCATTGCTCTCTCCTCCAAAACACTTCATTCCCCAAGAGCAGTGGTTCTCAACCTCCCTAATGCTGCGACCCTTGAATACAGTCCCTCATGACGTGGTGATTCCCCAACCATAAAATTATTTCATTGCTACTTCATAACTGTAATTCTGCTACTGTTATGAATTGTAATGTAACTATCTGATATGCAACCCCAAAGGGGTTGTGACTTACAGGTTGAGAACCACTGCCCTAGACTAGCGCCCACATCTTTCTCAGCCCAAGGTAACCACTAGTCCACTTTACATCTCTGTGGACTTACCCAGTCTGAGCATCCTGTATTAATATGTACAACATTTCATATTTTGGATTGGATCTTTTCACTCAGTGTATTTTCAAAGGCTTATTCAGTGTGTAGCTTGATTTCTCTCCCCCAAACCCTGTCTCTTTCTTCTGTCTCACGTAGCCCAGGCTGGCCTCAGATTTATTATGTAGCTGACAATGATCCTTCTACCTCCCACTCCTAAGTGCTGAGATAACAGGCTTCCACTTCTTTTTCAGTGCTGAATAATGTTCCATTATATCATATGGGGCTTGGGTTTTTTTTGTTTGTTTGTTATCACACAGCCAGAAACAGGATGCTATTGCACTTTTTTTCCCCTCCGTAGACAAACAAATTCGGTTTGTCATGTTTCTAGAAAAAGGTGACTGTGAATAAATGTTGGCTGAGTCTCACAAGGATGGCAGTCGTGTTTAGAAAGCTGCTTTTTATGAGTGAGTTTATTCACTCAGCACACTTAGTCTCTTTAGTGTTTCTGACTCACAAACGGAAGTGATTCTATTTTGACATCCTCTGTCTTTTTCTTGCTGGGTCTCTCCTGACTTGCTGCGTTAAATTATGCAAGTTACTTTAGCTCTGTTTATTTAAGTCCTGCATGCTCTGTAAAATAAGCCCAGTCCGGCCTGCTTGTTTGCCAAGGCTGTTTGGAGACAATTTTTCATATGATATGCACCATCAGCTCCCACAGAAGGCAGAAGGAATTTGATGTGTGGGGGTTGTCTGGGATCCAGTCCAAAATTAGTGCTCATCTGGAAGAAATATGGACGCCTGATGCTTTCTTGCTGGTCTTTTATTTGTTTTCATTTATTGCTTTCCCTCTAAGGAACTTTGCAAATCTTCATTTTAGTGGGTTTTTTCCCCCTCTATATAAGGTTGGCTTTTTCTTTTGTAAAAAGATTGAAATGGGAAAAGCCGTCTGATGCTTCTATTAGTTTACTGTGTATCAAAGAGTAATTTGTCTGACCTAGTTTTGTGACCTGGGGAAGGTCTAATATCCAGAATTTGTCCCTTCCCTACCCCTCCCTTCCTCCTCCCCTTCTGTTCCCTCTCCTCCTCTCCCAAGACCGGCCTCTCTAGGCCCCAGCTTGGGATGTGAAATCCAACCAGATGGATGATCATCCAGGTGCTCATGCAAGATGCTTTGTGCGATAGGCTGAGAAGGCAGCAAAGAAGAACGCAGCAGATCTTAGCTTTCAAACGCTCGCTGGCTGATGGTCGCAGCAGGGGAAGGTCAGGAAAATGTGTGCATGCCGAGAGCGGCAAAAACTGGATGTGCTGAAGGCAAAAACAAGGGCAGAGGTTTCTGCTACCTGGGGCGACAGGGACCTTCAGGAGGAGACTTGCGCTGGTCTGAGAGGATAGACAGGATTTTTAAAGAAGGGAGGGGCAGGAAACAGCATGTCATCCTTCCCAGCTGGAGTCTTCAGAATGGGGACGTGGACCACGGTCGCCTGAGGTGTGAAGAACAGCTGTGTAAACTAAACTTGCACAAGTAGGTGGGGGCTTTGCTGGCTGCACATGGAAGAATTTGTTCTCGACTATTTAAGCACAAGAGGTTGGTACACAGGTACAATCGAGGCAAAGGGAATGGGAAAGAAGTGACTAAACGCTACAACAGGCCTTGAAGTCTAGGTATGGGGAAGGCGGTGGAAACACCTCTTGGGCCAGACCTCCTTACTCTGAGGGGCACCGGGAGGAGCCAAAGTTATAAACACCTCCTCCAGTGACGACAGGTGGTCGGCTCCGGCCTCCGATTAGCTACTCCGGCCGCCAATCCCGGAGGAGGCGGCGCCGTCCCGGCCGCTCGGGGCTCCGAGTGTGGCCGGCGCGGGCTGGGAGCCGGAGAAGCCGGCGGAGCCGGGTAGCAGGCGAGGCCGGGCCATCGGGGGGCGCCGCCGCAGAGGTAGGCAGGTGGGCAGGGCGCGGGATCCGGTGGCCTCGGGGACCCTGCCCTCGGGGACCGAGCCTCCGGGGGTCCCTCACGCCGGGGACCACGCCGTCCCGGATCGCCGGCGAGGCAGGGGGCAGCGGGACCGGCGGAGCGGGACGGGGATGCAACGCAGGACGCCGCCGGGCGCCCCGGGCTGGGCCTGGGTCCCGGAGTCGCCAGCACGAGCCGGCTGGGGGCGGCACTACGTACCCCGGGCTCCTGTGACGTTCTGTTAGAAAAGCCGGGCCCGGGCTTGTGGCCCCGCGGGGGGCTTGTGGCACCGCGGGGAGTCGTCGAGCGGGCGCGCTGCGGGGCAGCCCCGCGTCCCCGCGCATCGTGGGTCCCATCGACGATGCTGTAGGTTCGGCCTGAGCTTCTGGAGAGCGGGGCTGTGAAGGAACATCGGGGACCGAAGTTCTCCAGCTTTCCGTTTTTAACACCTCCACTTGCCTGACTGCCCGACGCCAGTGCCCTAAGGTGACATACCCTGAAACGAACACACACACACACACACACACACACACACACACACACACACACACACACATACACACACACAGCGAGAAGTTGAGATATTTTGTTTTGCAAAAACTCTCCTGGTGCCGGGCTACTTGCAGGTCACTGGCTTCTTTGTGAAGGCTCCAGTCTTTGCAAGCCTAGACCTCAGGACTATGCGTGTGTCCCGGAGGAGTGTGCGAGCAAGCAGCAGGCTGTTCTGGGCAGTGTCGAGGACCGGCAGGCGTGGCCCAAGTGGGGTTAGGTGGTGGTAAGGTTCTTTAAACAAGGCGTCCTTCAGTCTAGTTAAGAAAGACAGCTTTACTGCTTTAGGGGGGAAAACGACACAGCTCACAGACCAAACTGTTCCTAGAGACTGTGAGGGGTTTACGGGGTTTCTCCAAATTTCATCAGCGTGAGCCTAGGTAGTAGTGTCCTTCTTCCGTCCCCAATCTCTCTCCCTCTCTCCTTTTAACGTCCTCCTCCTTGTTAGGATTTGGAAAAGAAACAGGAAGTCAGAGATTCAGAGAAAAGAGCATTCACTCCACAACTGTAAACAGTTTATTTTGTCAGTAAATTATTTCCTAAGTCACTGGAGGTCTTTGGAAAACCTCTGCTTTTTCCTGCCCCCTGCAGAGAAGGTAGATCCCCTCAGAATTCAAAACTTAGGACATTTTTAGAAGTGGACTATAGTCCCCAAAGCTGTCCCGTTCTGTCCCCACGGACGATGAAACTTCAGAATTAGCGTTCTTAGCTAGTCAGGGTGGTACTTTCGTATGTCAGCTGCCGGCTACCCAGTCACAGGATTTCAGAGGACACGCGTCTAGACCTTGGGCCATCACAAAACCAATCTGCAGTTTTGAGTTTCTTTTATTATGACAATTATTGGGGACTGAACATGCCAAATGCATGTTTGATAATAAAGCGTTTGTACCTATAACTACTACAACTAAAGAAAAATAGATGTATTCAACTTTTAATTTTCTTATTTCATTTTCATAGCGAAGTTCTAGGTAAGAGGTATGTACTATACTTTTCCTAGCTGAGGTTAACAGTTCCTGCTCTATTATTTGAGTTGATGGTGAGATTCCTGGCAGGGATGACTACTCATAATGAATGGTTAAATCGGCAAATGTGGTCTTAGTATATACCCATTCTTTCCTTTGTTTGTGTATGAACCTTTTAATTGAGATACAATTCACAAACCGTAAAATTGTACTTTTGAAACTGTATAGCTCAGGGGATTTGGGTATATTTGCAAGGTTTTGCACTTATCACCACCACCTAATTCTAGAATATTTTCTTCAACCCCACCCCCCTAAAAAACTCTAGGCCTTTTAGTAGTCGGTCTCCATTGCCATCTCTTCACAATCCTTGGCAACCTTTGACCTGTTTTCTGTCCTTTTGATTTATCTGTTCTGGACATTTCATAGGACATGTGACCTGGAGTTGTGGACCGTAGGATAACTTTAAACATATGAGGAACTGTTTGACTATTTACAAAGCAGTTTCAACATTTTTTATAGTACCAGCGATATGCAGGAGTTCCAATGACTATACAGTTTCATCAGTTCTTATTAATCCACGTTCTTTTTCCTTCCTTCCTTCCTTCCTTCCTTCCTTCCTTCCTTCCTTCCTTCCTTCCTTCCTTCCTTCTTTTCTGAGACAGGGTTTCTCTGTGTAGCTTTGGAGCCTTTTCTGGAACTCACTCTGTAGCCCAGGCTGGACTCGAACTCACAGAGATCCTCCTGTCTCTGCCTCCCGAGTGCTGGGATTAAAGGCGTGCGCCACCACCGCCCGGTCATATTCTTTTTCATTTCATTATATTGAGCTAATTTGGGGAGAAGTGGAATGTCATCACAATTTTGATATTTCACTTTTTCATTTTTTTTCTTGTAGTTAATGATGCTGAGAACTTTTTGTGTGCTTATGGACCATTTATATATTTTCTTTGGAGATGTGTCCATTCTTTGTGTGTGTGTGTGTGTGTGTGTGTGTGTGTGTGTGTGTGTGTGTGTGTATTTGTACTGGTTAGGTTTCTATTTTTATAATAATTACCATGACCAAAAACAACTTGGGGAGGAAAGGGTTTATTTCAGATTACAGTTAATAGTCCATCATGAAGATAAGTCTGGGCAGGAACTCAAGCAGGGCAGGAACTTGGGGGGCAAGAGCTATAGCAGAGACCATGGAGGGGTGCTGCTTACTGGCTTTCTCATGCCATGCTCAGCCTGCTTTCTTATACAATTCAGGAACTGCCCAGAGGTGGCACAGCTCCATATGGCTGGGCACACAGGTTTTTGTCAGGCAGACGCGAACCACATCACGGTTACACTACAACCTTTCCTCTCTTGCCCACCTCAACCATTAATAAAGACAGTGCCCTACAGACTTGCCTACAGGCAGTCTGGGTGGAGACATTTTTCTCCATTGGGGTTCCAGATAACTCTAGCTTCTGTCAAAAAACAAAAGAAAAACCAACCAAAACAATTGACGCCTTCTCAACTTGTCATCACTATTGAACCATAACCTTTCTTTTCTTGTTGTCCCCAAGATGCCATGTTAATATTAATATGACAATATAAAACATTCCAACTTTTAAAAGTCCCACAGTCTTTAAAAACATCAACACTTAAAACTCCAAAATCTCTTTAAAATATTCAAAGTCTCTCCAAAAATTCCAAAGTCTTTTAACTGTGGGTACCTGTAAAATAAAAAAAATAACATATACTGTCTTACTCCAAAAGGGAAGAATTAGAGCAGAGTCACATTCAACTCAAACAAAACCAAAGGCCAACTGTGTAAAGCTCAGCGTCAGGCGTGGCACTCATGATCTTCTGGCCCCCAAAGGGCTCCAGTGGCTCCACCTCTGTGGTTCTGCCGTTCATAGCACATGAAGCACGTCTCATGGGTTGAGGGCAGCTCCACTCCACAGTTGCTGCTGTTCCGTGGTGGTTGCCCCTTACTACTGGTATCTCAAATATTCTGCTGCAGTTTGGGCAGCAGCTTCACCAATAGCCTAGGCTCTCTTCAGGGACTCTGACCCTGCTATGTGGTGCCAAGCCTCAAATGGTGTTGGGGCTTCTACCTTCAGCAGTGACCTCTGCTGGCCTCTCACAGGGCCAAGGGTCAGCTGCTCTCCATGACCCCTCCAAGCCTTCAAAAACCAATACTAACTGGGAGACTCTTACAAGTTACCAAGTTTGGATGCCAACATGAGTTGTAGCCTTGGCTTTCTCTGGACCACAGCTTCTGTGTGCTGCCTTGAGGAAATATTCCCAGAAATTTTTACCTCAGTAGTACTGGTTGTAGCTAGAGTTTTCCTGCCTGGCCCACAGTCAGGACAAATCTCTCTCACCCGCCAGTCCCACAGCTGCTCAGACCCAACCAAGTAAACACAGAGACTTATATTGGTTACAAACTGTATGGCTGTGGCAGGCTTCTTGCTAACTGTTCTTACAGCTTAAATTAATCCATTTCTATAAATCTATACCTTGCCACGTGGCTCGTGGCTTACCGGCATCTTCACATGCTGTTTGTCATCGTGGCGGCTGGCAGTGTCTCTGACTCAGCCTTCCACTTCCCAGCTTTATTCTCCTCCTTGTCCCGCCTATACTTCTTGCCTGGCCACTGGCCAATCAGTGATTTATTTATTGACCAATCATCAACACACTTGACATACAGACCATCCCACAGCAACTGGTCTCTTAATCACTGATAATTTCTCGGTTCCCGCTAACCACCATTGACTGTCCAAGTAAAGCGAAGGTTTCACTTTAGTGGTTCTTGTATTTTCTTTTTTTTTTTTTTTTTGGTTTTTCGAGACAGGGTTTCTCTGTGTAGCTTTGCGCCTTTCCTGGAACTCACTTGGTAGCCCAGGCTGGCCTCGAACTCACAGAGATTCGCCTGGCTCTGCCTCCCGATTGCTGGTATTAAAGGCATGCGCCACCACCGCCCGGCCTTCTTGTATTTTCTTAACCACAGTTGATTCTTCAGCCCCAGCTGCTCAGATTCTTAATCCAAAGTATTGAACGACCCCAACAGAATCTTTAAGGTACTCTCAAACTTCCTTCTGGAACTTCACAAGCTAGGCTTCAACTGTCTTTACTACTCTTAACATTCTTATCGTTCATGCTCCCTCCAACAGCTCCCTGAGCTCCGAGTGCTCAATGGCTTTTCCAGCCTAAAATTCCAAACTCCTTCCACGATCCTTTAAAAACAACATGGCCAGGTCGGTCTCAGCAACAGTCCACACACTAGGACACATCTCTGTCTTAGGGTTTGTTTCTATCGCTGTGCTAAAACACCATGGCCAAAAGCAACTTGGGGAGGAAAGGGTTTGTTCAGCTTCCAACTCTCAGATCACACTCTCCTTCTTTGGGGAAGTCAGGGCAGGAACCCAAGGCAGGAGCCTGAAGGCAGGACTGAAAAAGAGACCCTTGAGGAAGTCTGCTTACCGGCTTGCTCCTCATGGCTTGCCCAGCCTGGTTTCTTATACAGCTCTGGACCCCTTGCCCCAGGGGTGGCCCTGCCCTACCCCTATGGCTTGGGCCCACCCCTATCAATCAGCAATCCAGAAAATACCCTATAAACTTGCCTGGAGACAATCTGAGGGAAGCATTTTCTCATTTGAGGGCTTACATGACCAGCACTTTGCCAAGTAAGCCTTCATTTCAGTCCCTAATTCTAAATTAGATTGTCCTTTTTTGTTTTTTCTTTTTCTTCTTCCTTCCTTCCTTCCTTTCTTTCTTCCTTTCTTCCTTCCTTCCTTCCTTCCTTCCTTCCTTTCTTTCTTTCTTTCTCTCTTTTTTGGTTTTTGGGTTTTTTTTTTGTTTTTTCGAGACAGGGTTTCTCTGTGTAGCTTTGGAGCCTTTCCTGGAACTTGCTCTGCAGCCCAGGCTGGCCTCGAATTCACAGAGATCCACCTGCCTCTACCTCCTGGGTGCTGGGATACATCAAGCCTGGCAGGTTGTCTTTTTTTATCGAGTTGTTTGAATCATTTACATATTCTGGACACAAGTCTTTCAAATCTTTCCCTACCTTTTTGTAGGCCGTTTTTACAAGTTCTTCATAGCACATCAAGAGCAGTGGTTCTCAATCTGTGGGTTGAGACCCCTCTGGGGGTGGGTTGTCACATATTAGATATCCTGCATATCAGATATTTATATTATGATTCGTAGCAGTAGCAAAATTACAGTTATGAAGAAGCAACGAAATAATTATATGGTTGGGGGTCACCACAACCTGAGGAACTGAATTAAAGGGTCACAGCACTAGGAAGGCTGAGGACCACTGCCTTAGGGCCCATAATTCTTAAATTTTGATGAGGTTTCACTTATCTATTTTCTGATTTTTAGAGCTTTGGGTTACATTCAGGCCTTTGATACATCTTATGCTAATTTGTGTGTCTGGGCTGAGGGAGGATACTACATTCATTCTTCTGCATGTGGCTATCCACTTGTACCCCATCATCTGTTGAAAGTACTATTACCTTCCCTGTTGAATGGTCTTGGTAGTCTTGTCAAAAATGAATTGATTGTCAACACGAGGTTGTATTTCTGGGCTCAGCCTTATTCTGCTGATGTCTTTCTTCACTCCTCTATCTCGGGTACTGTAGCTTTGTAGTGAGCTTTGAAGTTTGAATATGTGACTCCTTAAGCTTTATCAAGATTGCTTGCTTATCCTTGGTCCCTTAAAATTTCTCGGTGAGTTTTAGGATCAATTTACCAATTTCCGGCAAGAAAAAAAGAACATCAGTTGGAATAGTCACAGTTGTTGCATTGCTAACCCATCTGCAAGCCTTGTCACCTGCACAGATTGTAGTCCATGAACAGGCCATTTCTTCGTTTATTTAGGCTTGATGTCTTTCCTTGATGATGTGTTGTTTTCAAAGTACGAATTCTTGTTTTGTTAAGCTTATTCCTAAGGGTTTTAGTCATTGTTATGCTATATCACAAATGGAAGTTTATTAATTTGGGGGTTTTTCTTCTAGTATATAGAACTTGATTTTTGTATATTGATGTTGTTTCCTGAAACCTTACTTACTAGTCCTAATAGGTTATGTGTGTGTATGTGTGTGTGCAATTTTCTTAGAATTTTCTATGTACATGATCATATCCTCTGCAAATAGTTTTACTTCCTTTCTAAATTTAGAAACTTTTAATTCTATTCTTGCCTTGGCTACATCCCATAATGTAGTGCAGAAGTCGTAAAAGCAGACGTCTTTGTCTTTTGTTGGTTTTGAGGGGAAGCATTCAGACACCGAGTGTGTATGTTGTCGGCTTTTGGAGCTGTCCCTTACCAGGGTGAAGGACTTCCTTTTTTTGCTGATGTGTTGAATGGCTTTCTTATGTAAGAGAGGTTGCGTTTTGTCAAACTTTTTTGTGTTGTTGAAATGATCTTTTTTTTAAAATCCTTTATTCTATTTATATGACACATTGCCTTGATTTTTTTTTCATTTGTTGGAAAGCATTTATGTGCTATTTATGCCATTTTTAAGACTATAGGCTAGGAGTGTACGTTATTGGCAAAGCATTTGTTTACCATGTACAGAGTTCAGATCCCAGCCAATCAAGGTAAACAAAGCAAATATCTTTTACACTGGGACATAAATGTTATTCTAACCGTAGAGGAAAACTTACCCAACATGAAATAGATTATATTGCTTGAGATAGAACAATGTCTATATTTTTTCTGCATAGTTGTTTGAATGGTTTAAGAATTAAGAATGCCATCAAGTAGTGGTGGCGCACACCTTTTATCCCAGCACTCGGGAGGCAGAGGCAGGCGGATCTCTGTGAGTTCGAGGCCAGCCTGGTCTACAGAGTGAGTTCCAGGACAGCCAGAGCTCTTACAGAGAAAACCAGTCTCGAAAAAAACAACAACAACAAAACAAGAATTAAGAGTGTCTATTTTATTAGTTTTTAAAAATTTAAGAAATATTTTATCTGTATTTTCTTTCCCTATATTCCCTCCAAAGCTAATAGAAAGGTTAAGTAACAGTAGAGTGGAGTTTGTGATACCTAGATGAAATACTAATAGTAAATGTTAATATGGTAACTGAAAATGTTCATAAAGCTAATATTAAAAAAACAACTACCACAACAAAACCCATAAATAAGTAGGGCCGGGCTTCTATTAAAAACAGGAGAATTCTTACCAGCTCTTCCCTAATGTTTCTGGTGTCTGTGGCCAGGATGTAGGGGTGTCTGAAAGGTGTGCAGTGCTTAGGGGTGATTGTAACAAAATATTGTTGCCTTTGGAGAACAAGTCTTTTGTATTCATTTATTTCTAAATTACGGAGTGATGATTCCAGTATTCAAGTGAAAACTGTCTTAAGCACAAGACACGTATTTTTGTGTTTAAGGAAAAGGGAATTTTTAGTAGCTTGCTGAGTTTTTGTTTGGTCGCTTATTTCCTTTTGAGATGGTCTAACTATGTAGTCTTGGCTGACCTGGAACCTGGAACTTCTGTGTCGCCCAGGAGGGCCTTGAGTGTTCCAGAATCTCCCTTCCTCAGCCTGCCAAGCGCTAGGATCGTGGAGGAAGCTTGTAGCTTGCAGTTTTTAAAAACTGGCGTATGTTTAAGGAATGGGATACATTACAGTAAATTTTGGGGGGAAATTTGTTGTATTTTTTCCCTTTTCCTTGCCTTCCTTCCTTCCTTCCTCCCTTCCTTCCTTCCTTCCTTCCTTCCTTCCTTCCTTCCTTCTTTCTTTCTTTCTTTCTTTCTTTCTTTCTTTCTTTCTTTCTTCCTTCCTTCCCCCAGAAAACAAAAGAATACTATTATGCACTTCAACAGCTGAATCTTTGGAGTTCTGAGAATTTATTCTCTTTGGAGTTCTGAGAATTTATTCTCTTGTGTTCTCCTACATTGGGGCCTGGCTCCTTTGGGAAATCCATTCCTAACACTGATTTCATCAATTCATGGCAAAGGTCATTCAAGAATACAATAGGCCAGCACATGGGAAGCAGAGCCAGGCGGATCTCTGTGAGTTCGAGGCCAGCCTGGGCTACCAAGTGAGTTCCAGGAAAGGCGCAAAGCTACACAGGGAAACACTGTCTCGGAAAACCAAAAAAAAAAAAAAAAAAAAAAAAAAAAAGAAAACAATAGGCCAACAGAACATTAATAAACATTTAAAACTACTTTCAGGAATTCCAGAGTCAGAAGTGGCCATGCTTCTGAAATCAAGTAGCTCTGTAGACTTTCAAGACAGCTTCCCTGACCTGGAGCTGCCTGCTCTACAGCGAAACTTCCCCACCATTAACCTCCTGCAAAGAGGCGGTTAGTGTCATAGAAAACACTGAGTCTGGATTTACTAAATTGTAGATGACATCACATTTCATCTTTATCTGTTTTCTCTTCTTACCCCAAATGAAACGTACTTGTCAGGCTTCTAGTGACTTCCCTGGTTAAATGAGCCAGAGGTTTTTCGGCTTGAGAGACTTAGCCTGGACCCAGACATATCCAAAGTGATACCAAGTCATCGTTTTAGTACAAATCTTTAGCACAGGTCCGGTATTTCCATAGGTTATTTGATCATATTACTGGCACATTGTGGTATGTCTGTAAATCTGAGAGTGTGAATTTTGAGTGGATAGACTTTTAAAGTCCTACCTGTTGGGAAGAATTAAAAATACAGCAGTTTCTCTGGGCTGTGCTATCATGTGGTTCAAAGTTCTATTGGAAGCAGCCTTATTTCATTTATTCCTCATAGCATGTCCACGAAGCTTGTGATTGTTAGTGTCTGACTTTCTTTTAGCATGGGTAAACTGAGACAGAAAATGAAGCAGCTGGGTATGGCTTCCAGCCCTGGTTTCTTGTCTGTCATTAAGTTCTACACACTGTGGCAAGTGCTGGCCTTATCTTAGAATTTAAAACTTGTCTGTGGATGGCATTCAGTTGTCCACTGAGACATTCCTTACGTTGCCTTCAGTGCCAATGTGTGTGTTGTTTGACCGCTTGCTTTCTCTCTTCTAGAAGAAATATGGCAGAGCTCTCGGAGTTAGAAGGACCAGTCGATTGGAAGGAGCGATGCGTAGCTCTGGAGTCCCAGCTCATGAAGTTTCGAGTTCAGGCAAGCAAGATCCGCGAGCTCTTAGCAGAGAAAGTAAGCTCCTCACCCAAACTTCCATGACTGTCAGTTGCTGGATCCCTGTTTCATATATATTAAGATATATATATATCCCATTACTCCCGGGAGTCAAACATTTCAAAAATAATGAATATAGTTTAACTTTCTTTCTTTTATGAAGTATTTGAAACTACATTTGACATGTTCTTTCACCAAATATGGGACAAAAAAAAAAAAAGCTTTTATTTGTAAGCATTAGTGGAGTTTGGGAATATTACATGTTTGATGAATACAGAGTTCATTCATTCCAGAGAGAAAGCTATAATTTATTTGACTTACTAAAGGAATTTAATAGCATTTTCATCTGCTCTCTGTTGAAGGATATAGTTTTTAAGCCAGGTATGGTGCTACAAGTTTGTAATCCCAGCACTGAGGCCAGAGGACCACAAACTTAAGGCCAGCCTGAATTACACAGCAAGACCCTGTCTCAATAAAACACAACAAACAAAAAATCGTTCTCAAGTAATTATAGAACTCTCTACTGATAGCTAAATGTTTATAATATATTTGAAAGTATGTACATGCTTAGAATTTCTACTAATTATATGTTCCAAAATTATCATTTGGGCTAGAATTGAATTCAGTATAGTCTGTCTTCTATTGATAGTTCTAGTAATGTAATTAGAATTTTTGTCACAGGAAACATATATATATATATAGATATATATAGATAGATATAGATATAGATATAGATATAGATATAGATATAGATATAGATATAGATATAGATATAGATATAGATATAGATATATCACAGTTACCTCTGTAAACAAAACAGCCCTTGTCTCTGGTTCCTGGGAATTTGAATTCTGGACTTTGCCATCTGATATAATATCCTATTAGTGTCCTTTCTAATACTATGATGAATACCATGACCAAAAGGAACTTGGGGAGGAAAGGGTTTATTTGGCTTGGATCCCAGTCCATGGCTGAGGGAAGTCAGGGCAGGAACTCCAGCAGAAGCGGAGGCAGGAACCAGAGAAGAATGCCACGTACTGGGTTGCCTTCAGGCTCATGGTCAGTCAGCTGCCTTTCCCAGGACTACCTGCCCAGGTGGGCCACAGTTACCTTCGGCCCCTACATTAATCAAAAAGTGTGAAAATGCCCCCCCCCCCCAGACATGCCCACCGGCCAGTCTGCTGGAGACAATGCCTCTCTTGAGATTCCCTCTTCTTAGACATGTCTGGGTTTGTGCCAAGTTGACAAAAGCAAATTGGCACGGATACCTACGTGCCACTTGTGACTGTGGCACATTCGACTGGGCTAGTTCAAACTGAAGTAGGTTGCAAATGTAAAACACATCTCGGGGATCAAAAATTTCCTATGAAAAGATAAAACAGTTCAGCTTGACGCAAGCTAGAGTCATCAGAGAGGAAGGAGCCTCCGCTGAGGAAATGCCTTCATGAGATCCAGATCCAGAGGCATTTTCTCATTTAGTGATCAGTGGGGGAGGGCCCAACCCGTGATGGGTGGTGCCATCCTTGGGCTGGTGGTCCTGGGTTCTATAAGAAAGCAGGCTGAGCACGCCATGAGGGAACAAGCCAGTAAGCAGGACCCCTCCATAGCCTCTGCATCAGCTCCTGCCTCCAGGATCCTGCCCTGTGTGAGTGCCTGTCCTGACTTCCTTCAGTGATGAACAGCAATGCGGAAGTGTAAGGCAAATTAATTCTTTCCTCCCCAACTTTCTTTCTGGTCGTGGTATTTTGTCATAGCAACAGAAACTTAACTAAGACAGTGTGTCAACAGTTTTTTGAATATTGAGTTAAATGAGCAATATTATATCATTCTTGTTGCTTTTTTTTATTGTATGTTCTAGAGAATTTAAAATCAACACGAGGTTCTCATATTTCTAGAAAGTGTTATCTAGACAGACAGATGAGTGATATCGCTGGTAACTGGCCAGAAGAATTTACAGGTGTTGTTTTAAACGCCAGTTCACATTCTTTTGGGATGGAAACGGGTACATGTGTCATTTCTCCATCAAAGCCTTACATCTTTCTTTCCTGTTGGCCAAGAATCCCTTTGAAGTGTCCTAATAAAATCCAGGAAAGCATCATTTTGTGTGAGCCTTCATGTATCCCATCCTTAGCTTCCTTTAAGTGGAGAGACTAAAGTGACCCTGTTCAGCCTGCTTCACAGGTGACCGGGGGCCAGGCTCTGTGGAATGAGGTCTCAATATTAAAGTGGCCTGTTTGTTCATTTTAGGATCAAGATTAAAGCGTGGAAAGATTCCACTTTGAATAGCTATAGCTAAGGGAAGCTTAACTCAAAGCTAAGTGTCGTCCATGGGCTGTTATTTTTTTCTCCTTTCAATATAAAAACCATTTCTCATATTGAAAAGTGATTTATGTAGTATTTTCTATGACCCCAATGACCAAGACACTGATTTTTATATAGTTACATCAGCATTTCCTTGTGGCTAACCTGCGTGGACACTTCATCGTTGTTACCTCTGCTTTTTTGATTATTATCTGTATGCTATTGTATTTACTCTTTTTTCAGTGAATGAGTATTAAAAGGAGAATTTTTTTTTTTTTTTTGAGACAGGGTTTCTCTTTGTAGCTTTGCACCGTTCCTGGTAACTCACTCTGTAGACCAAGCTGGCCTTGAACTCACAGAGATCCACCTGGCTCTGCCTCCCGTGTGCTGGGATTAAAGGCGTGTGCCACCACCGCCCGGCTAAAAGGAGAATTTTTTTAAGTCTAATTTATAACTCTGGATTTAGGTCTTTAGAAGATCTAAGAGGTGGAGTCGGTCAGATGTATTTTACACGCTGGAAACCAACTTTGTGTGCCAATTACTCATGGTTTCCTAGTAAATACTCTCAACACTGGAATGAGAGTAAAGACCTTCACAGTGTTCTTTGTTATATTCTGCTATGAAGTATTTTTCTCAGGTTTGAAAAATTTCTTTGGTATCCACCTACGCTTTAATGAAAATGCCAAATATTTATTGACTTCTCATGTGCTAAATATTTTATAGGTAATAATGTACTAAATTCATCTAACAACTTGTGAAGTTAAAAATTTTGTCTCAGTTTTATGAATTAGGAAACTGATGTATCCTAAGTAATTTATATATTTAATCTTCCCAATAATTTTTATGAGGTAAATACTACTATTATCTATGTTGACACAAGGGGATAATTAGGTACCAGAAGTTACTTAGCTTGCGAGAGTTCATACCAAAAAGAAAGTGATGGGGACAACATTTAAATCCAGACTTTCTGTCTCTGAAGCCTAAGGTGATTTGTCTGTGGTCCCCATGTTGCTCCTGTGGTCTGTCTGTCCACTCTTCTGTTCTGTCGTCTGTTCCACCGTGCCACAGAGAAACGTGTCACGTGCGTTCGTCGCACATGTGTTTGCAGCAATAACCGCTTATGGATCAGCACATATTTTTCAAGGCAAGCCCTGCTGCACTGTTGCTCAGTGCCAGACTGAGTCAAATGTTGCATTCCTGAGACAGTCAGGTCCCACCTCCAGCTTTGGCTTTGTGCTGGGACCTGCATCCTCAGAGCTTCTCCCCCTTAGCTCTCCACACCTTCTCGCCACGTGGGTGCAGCCCCAAGGCTGGAGATTCTTGAGAGACTACTAATTCGTGTCTTTAGCTCTTTGCCAGAAACTGTAGCCAACCTTTTTCCTGGAACAGTTCTGGTTCTTAGCTTTGTTTTATTGGCTGTGGCACACAAGCAGCCAGCTCTGAGTGCTAGCTGCGGTTCCCAAGCTTTTGAAACTGTGGCCTTAAGCTAGTTTAAACCCCACAGGAGCTCTGTGGGGGTGATTGTCATCGTCTCTGATCTGTAGATTGCCACGTTGGGGCTTGGAAGAAACGATGAGTGTGTTCACTGCCATCACACAACTAACGCATGGCAGAGCTGCCGTCGAATCATGCGCCTTTCAGATTTGTTGTGATGGAACTAACAGAGTATTTGGTGCAAGGAGATAACCCGCTACTGCCTTCTCCGGTCTTCCCCTGTTCTTTTCCTTCCCTGTTGCCTTGAGGGCCTTGCACTGTTAGTCAAGGTGTCTGCCACTGAACTAAATCCCTAGCCTCCCTTGTGTCTCTATGAAAAGATGATGCTTGTTATCTGCAGGAAGACTGGACAGTTAATTACAGATTAGTACCAAAATGTTGTTTGTTTGTTTTGGTTTTTTGAGACAGTGTTTTTCTGTGTAACAGCTCTGGCTGTCCTAGAACTCCTTTGTAAACCGGGATGGCCTCGAACTCACAGAGATCCGCCTGCCCCTGCCTCCCTGAGTGCTGGGATTAAAGGCGTGCGCCACCACCGCTCATCGTATTTCTGATTTTTTTTTTTTAAGGAAATAGTATGAGATGACGGCAGAGTATTTTTGTAATTAAATATGGATTTCAGATGTGTAAGTGACTAGAATAAGTGAGCTTTTTTCTTAAAGACTTTTTGTACCTGTTTTTTTAAATCACAATTTTCAAGTAACTTAGAATATTGAGACTTGTGAAGAAAAAAGGCCGTATTGAAGTCTTGGGCAAGTGCTGCTGCTGTAAATGGGAGAGGTCTTTAAAGGAATTTAAGGAATGGTGTTGGAAATATCCTTAGTATGCCGAATATAAACTCTTCAGGGAAGCTGGGATGTAAGTAGTCCTCTCCTTGACATGTTAGTTTTCTGAGGCAGGGAAGGAAAAGGACAAGTTTCTTTTTAAGTTAAAGTGAAATGTTACTTTCCATGAAGTAGTTTCTCAGTGAAAAGGGAAGAGAAAATACGAAGCTGTTTTTCCTTTGGACCTCACCATGGTATCTGACTCCCATCCTGACTGACGGAGCTTCACCATCCAGGATCTCCTGCCTCTTGGTCTTCCCTTCCTGTCTGTGATTCCCCCGCGGCAGTTTAGGACCTTCTTCTGGGACTGAAGAGTCCCTGGACGTCAGAGCATGTGTTTTCTTCACACAGTAATCCAGGACAATGTGCCAGGAATCTATTTAAATAAGATATCCATGCACT